TGATAAGACCTGACAATAACAACAACATAGTGGATAGGTTTCAACTCAGCAGAGGTTCCAAACTACGATAGACTAAGAAGAAATAAAGACCTGGTGATCTACTTTTGAAAATTAAACAGTGAAAAAACCCCATGTATCCCAATAGATTTATACATAGTCTGATATAGTCTAAAATGTGCTGGAAGAGGATATCTCTAAGTTGGAAGGCACGCAAAACACACAGGAACCGTAACAATGGACTTGAGCGTACCGGCATTTATGTGGATATGCATGGGGCCTCCGTAGTAACTCAAAGCCAACTACACTGGAGCTGATAAAAGTATTATTGCATCATTTAACCTTGGGTTCAGTAAACTTTTTTTTTAAGTAATAAAAAAGTATTTTAGACTTTGTGGTCTATAGGTCTCTATTGCTATTACTCGCCTCTGCTGTTATAGGATAAAAGAAACAGTGTGTAAACAGACAGGCACAATTGTTTCAAAAATTTTTATTTACAAAACCAGAGACAGGGCTAGATTTGGCCCAAGGACTTTACTTTACTGGTCCCTCATCTAATCTTTTATTTTGTTTGATTGAACCAAGCTTAAAGCTTATCCCATTTACATTTAATTTAATATGTAGTAAGATTAAAATTTTAATTCTGTCATTATGGTTTATTGTTTCCATTTAAAAACATATCTACATTTTTTTTCTTAGATATGTGGATGGCACTTTTTTTGCTTGTTTCATTTCTAGTATTTAGAAATGCATTTATTAAATAGAAATGTATATATTAATTTAGTTTCGTTGGTTATTTAAAATTTTCCAAAGATATTCTTGAATCTATCTCTGTCATAAACATTGAAGCAATTAAAAATATTGCAAAAATATTGCCATCTTCATGGGAACTTGGTAGAACTGGTTTTCCCTCTCCCTTTGGATCAGGTGTGGCTGCAAGTGAATCAAGTTGACACATATCACTTTCAGAGAGTTGAAGAGCTAGTGCATGATTTACTATTATCTCTTTTTCATTTTTCAACTATCTTGGAAGCACGAGAACAGATGGAGCTTCTACCAGCTTGGACACCAGTCAACCATGATGTGTAAACATTTTCAGCCAACCTGCTATGAGGAGATAGAAACTTCTGAACGTTAAAGCTAATGAGATTCTTGGTACGGGTTGTTGTTTTTGTTGTTAGGTTGAGTACAACTCAGAATGACCCTATAATAAATACTTTTATTCAGAGGTGGTGTAGTTAGTGCGTTGGACTGCTGACAGAAGGTTTGGAGGTTCTAGTATTCCCAGAAGTGACTTGGAGGAAAGGTCAAAAAAATCTACTTTCAATAAAAGTAACTATTGAAAACACTTTGTAGTGTATTTCTTCATAGACATGTAGGGTTGCCATCAGTTGGAATAGACTTGATGGCAACTGGTTCAGGGTGACAATGACACAAAATTGTAAAAAAAGCCCAACTAGATATTTAGCATCTGAATAAGGACATAAAGTGAAAGAGTGAGCTATCTGAATGTGAGGATATGAAGGGTTGGGCGAGAAGTGGGCAGGGATTGCTCAAAGAAGAAACACCGAAAAAAGTAGTAATAGAAGTTAGTGAAGTAAAGAGAAAGATGATAATGAAGGACCATGTAGACCATTGTTAAGATTTAGCTTTTGTCCTGAGTTATATGGAAGAAGCTACCAGTGAAATGGAAAGATGTCACTCTTTGACTTAAATTTTTAGAAAATCACTTCAGCTGTTAAAATAAGAATGCTATGGTTGCTGTTGTGCTATCTAGTTTATTCCAACTTATAACAGCCTCATGTAACAGAATATAACTACCCCCAAAGTATAGTGGGCGTGTTGTTAGGAGGTTGGTCTTTGGACACGGACATCATATTTGGAAACGTGGAGGGTTAGCAAAAGAGAAGAAGACCCTCAAGGAGATGGATCAACACAATGACTGTAATAATGGGCTCAGAGATGAGGAGGACTGAATAGGATAGAGCCAGGCTCAGATTCATTGTTAATAGGGTTAAGTACTGAAGAACAACAATGCTAGTCTGGAGATTGAGGTGCGCCTGATACAGGCCATGTGGACAGTGACTAGGGATGATAGAAGGAGAATTGATACCTTCAAGCTGTGGTGCTTGAGAAGAGTTGAATATATCATGGACTGCTAGGAAAACAAACAGGTTTGTCCTCAAGAGGGTGAAGCCAGTCTGCTCCTTGGAGGTTAGGATTCTGAAGCTTAGTCTGACATACTTCAGACATGTAGCAAGGAGGGACTAGTCCTTGGAGAGGGACGTCATGGTTGGGAGGGTGGAGAGACAGAGTGGGAGAGGAGGACCCTCGATGAGGTGGATTGACTCAGTGACTGGGGTAATGGGGGTAGGTGTATCAGAGAAAATAAAGTTATAGAGCAGGGTTCAGAGCTATTGTACATAAGGTCATTATGAGTCCCAAGCTACATGACAACATGTAACAACAACATGAGTTGTCATTGACTCAACAGCATCTAACAACAATCTTTAGAGAACCTTGGTTGTCTGGTCAATAGAGATTTGCACTACCAACCCAAAGGTTGTTGTTGTTGTTAAGTGCCGTTGAGTCGTAGGCAACTCATAGCGACCCTATGAAGGAAAGTCCTCAACACTTGTGTGACGTTCATACTCTCTCCAGGTTCATAGGGTTTCCAGAGGCAAGCTATTACAGATGTGGATTCCACTCCTACTTCCAAGCTTGTTTTAATTGGGGAGTTCCACCAAATATCGTCCACCATGGGTAACCATTAACGCATTTGACACATCAGTTTCGTAGTGTTTAGCTTCGCAGCAACCACAAGTTACCACTGTATGGCAAGTGGACAGGGCTATATGACCTAGAAGACTGAACAAAAACAATGAAAAACAGGCCCGAGGGCCACAGGCTTGAGAACCCTTCAGTATTTTACCATTCTGGCACACCCAAATGCTGGCTGGCTCTGGTCCAGAGATCCCCAGTTCATCTGACAAGTCCACTCTGCTGACCTCCACTTGGGGCACAGAGAAAGCCACAAGCCCAGAGCCTTCCATACCTGCCTCTCCTCAAGAAGCCAGAGGGCTCGTGCAGCTGACACTAAGTCTCCCAAGATACTAGGCATGGCCCGACCTTTCTGTATTTTACCATTCCAGCACTCCTAAATGCTGGCCAACTCTGGGCCAGAGACCCCCAGTTCATCTGGCAAGTCTGCTCTGCTGACCCCCACTTGGGGCACAGAGAAAGCCACAGTGCACCAGGGGATGGGCAACCTTTTCTCATATGATTTATAACCTCTGAAAACCCAAAGGGGGGTCTGGTCAGCTATGTGTCCGTCCCGACTTGACAGCAATGCTTTTAGAAATGAGGATTGTTACAGAGCAGCCTGCTTTATCTCTCTTCCTCCTAGTTCCTTGTGGGCTTCAACCACCAATGTTTGATTTAGCAGCTGTGCATTTAATTTGGGAACTAATTTTGTTATTGTTGTTGTTAACAGCTGTTGAATCAGAACCAATTCATAACTGACCCATCAATGGTGGATTTAAACCTACAACCTTTGGGTTAGGCCACCAAATTCCCCACTGAACTAATAGGACTCCATGTAATGAGGATAGACAAGCGATTAGGATGAAGCTACAAGGCCAGTTTAACAATTTACAGCACACATAAAAGATGGTGGTGTAGACTAAGTATGGTAATGAAGAGATAGAATTGATGAAATCCTGGATCTATGCTGAAGGTCACATAATTTGTTGGTTGTCTGGAGGTGAGCTATGGAAGAGAGGGATTAAGGATACTTGAATTTTTTTATTGGAAACTAAAATGATAGAGCTACCATTTATAGAAATGGGAATGGATGTAGGATAGCAGATTTGGGAGTAAACATTAGGAACTTTATGTGGCTGAGTCTGGCTTGGCACTTGAGGATGAGTCTATGCTTTAAGAAACCAAGGATGGAGGTCGGCATAAGAATATTAAAACCACGAAACTGATGACAGCAAATACATCTATTTATTCCTGGTGCTAAGCACAATATCTGACTCACTTCAAAAAAAATAGATTTTTTAATAAATGAAAGAATGACTAGCACAGTTCAGATAAAAGAAAATAAACTGTTAAACAGACTGTCAGAACCAGGATTAGATGTAGCCTAGGGAGATGAGTGATTTGAATAAAGGAAAATTTCATCTCTCTGAATAATGAATTACAGATCTTTAAACATTTCAAATACCTGAAACCCACTCTACATTTCTGAGTGTTTTTATATTTTTTTTGTGTTTATCAGAGCTCTAATGACATGTATTTTGATAATTATCATGGAACACAAAATTATAGTTTTACCTTTTCATTATTCTTTCTTTTTCTATCCATGGCCTTTTAAGATGAAACCTCTTAATAATATCTGAAATAAGATTATATAAAATGTGTTCTTATTAGAAAGGGTTTTTTTCAATATATATATAAAATTGCTGTTTACCGTTGAGTCAGAACCATCGCATAGCTCACCCTCCAGCAGGGTTTCAGACACAGAAAATCACATGAAAGGAGATTGCCCAATTTTCTCCCACAGAGCAGTTGGTAGATTTGAACTGTGTACCTTTGGATTGGCAGCACAATTCCTTAACACCAAGCCACCAGAGCTTATAGACATATACAAACTGTTTAAGTTTTTAAGATTACTTGAGGAAATATCTCCCCCCAACCCTGTTTGTGCCCTAGATGCAAAAATACTTAAATATTTGGCAAATCATGGGTAAATGAGACCTAGAAGGATTTCACGTAACTGAGAAGTCTTGTGAAATTGTAGAAACTGCAAAACTAAATTTTTATATAAACTAGCCATTTGAAATCTCTGTTAAAGACATTTTTTAATTTTGCAAGACACTTGTGTGTGAGATGTTGGAATGATTACATAACAGTGCTAGTCTAGTCAGAACTGAGGGGAAAATAGTTGCTCATCTTTGGTCTCTACGTCGTGTGTCATTGTTGGTTGTATAATAGTGAGCCTAGGAAGCCTGCCCTTCAATAATGACTAAAGTGAAGGTGAAGAGGAGAAGCACTGCACAGACACCTTTAAGCCAAAGTGGTACAGAAGAGGGAGGTGGATCACGGTGGAGGATGCGTGTCCTCAGGGGCCTAATGATCCTCTCCTTCTGGGTGAGGATGGCTTCTCGGGCATAAGCCCACTTCCCTGGGCCCTGCAGGCGGTACTGGTAGGGGGTGCATGGGCCAAAGAAAATTTCCATGGCTAGCTTTGTATCCCGTAGGAACAGCGAGAACAGGTTGGGTTTCACTCCAATTTCAGAGGCAATTTCATCCATGTAATCCACATATTGCACTCTGCGTTTGTCACGGGGATTATTCAGGAATCTGAAACCAGAAGGGGACACATCAGAAACCGCAAGACAGATGACGATCTAGGGGGGAAATAATTACAGTTAAGCACTCGAACACCAGCCATAAGGCCAGTAGTTTCAATCCACCCAGAGGGAGCTATGAAGACAAGGTGATTTTCTTCTGAAAGGTCATAGCCTTGAAATCTCAATGGAGCAATTCTACTCTGTGTATACTGAGCTGATAGCTTGAAAGTTGATTGATGGTAACAAACAACGTAACAAACCATTGATAAAGGAGCTCTCGGGTGCAACATTTAAGTGTTCAGCTGCTAACCAAAAAGTTAGTGGTTGGAATCCAACCAAAGACTCTGTGGTAGGGCCATCTGCTTACAGAAACCCTAGAATAACTCCATGAGACAGTTCTGCTCTGTCACGCGGGGTCTCTGTGATTCGAAATTGGCTGGATGGCCTCAAACAAAACCAACAATAAGTTGTTGATGATTTTTCCAAATATTAAGAGAGAAAATGTCATTTCAAATTTTTTTGTTACTCTAGTTTTAGTGGTTTCTACCAAAATACTTATACATGTGTATTTGACCTGTCAAATCGCTCCCAAGACTTTTGGATAGTAATAAGAGATTTTAAGATTTTTGTTTTATTAATTGTGTTCTCCTTTTCCTAAATTCTGTCATACAGACCATTATATTTTTACCATATATTTAGTTCTCATTCAGACTTTAATTTCATTTTGGTAAGTCAGTGGTGAGAACAGTGATACATGAATTTCACAGACTACAACATTATTGTATTCCACTTCCTAGCTTTGGGCATGTATGAAATTAATTTGATTTCAAATATTACTGAGATGCAATTCCTGACTGCATTTTTTTAACTAAAGTTACTGAAAAACTGACTATTCTTAGGGTGTGAACTTTTTAATCTTAGGCAACATGCTGTGACTTTTACATTGTGGATTCTCAACAGATATTTGTTGGCTAGAATTAAATTATATTTCTAACCCCAATGTTTGAGAAGACTTTTCTATTAAGAAGCTTTGGCACAACCTACAAGCTTCTGACCTTGTGTCAAATTTTTAATCAGATTTTATAGTGATGTGCCAACTCATTTCTTATGTTGATTTATCTTTCCAGCTTGTTGAAAGAATAAGACAATCCATTTCACCTTTCATTTTCATATGCCTCACACCTCTAAGACTATGCCACAACATAATTTATAATTGTAGACTGTATCTAAGATTTTCATGGCCTTGCAACAACAGTTCTGATGTTTCTATGTCAGACAATTCTGTATCCATTTCATTTCTAAACATTGCCTACATGATGTGCAACATTTATGAGTTGAGAGGAAATGAAAAAATTGATTCTTTGAGATCACATTAAGGCAAACTGATCCAGATTATGTGGTGAGGAAAATGTAAAAAGTACGTGATAGGCAAACAGCTCTCTACCCAAACACTTCCAATTGACTTTCAGCAATAATTAGGTTTCTTACTCTTTTTCCATCTTTTTTCTCTTCTTTGTTATGTCTGCCATCATTTCATTCACCGAGGGTAATTTATTCAATCCTAGGGGGGAAAATTATAAACATGAATGTGCTTTTCTTATTGGGAAGAAGTGGTTTCAGGAAGAAATGGATGTTCTGAGGTCAACTTGGCAGAGAACATCACACAAGAACGGTGATGCTGGAGTAGAGCTGCTCTGGAATGCCCTTTCCTCATTATTTTGTCATATATACATGCCTGATAGATATAAAAAAATGTGTCCTTGGCATGTATCTGGGAACTCCACGGTCTATATGTTGTTGATTGCCTTCGAGTGGAGAACAACTCATAAAGATCCTATGAACAAAATATATAGATGATCCTAAACCATAGGGAGTTATTAACTAGGAGTCTTACCCAACTAACAATACATCTGTTAAGGCTTAATAGCCCCATCAGGGAGCTCTGATGGCTGTAGAGATTTGCACTGCTAACCTAAAGGCCTTATCTCAGGGAGCTCTGGTGGCCTAGTGTCAAGAAGCAGCACTGCAATCCCAGAAGTATGCGGTTTGAATCCACCAGGTGCTCTGCTGGACAAGGAGGGGCAATCTCCTCCTGTACCACTCAGATTCGATTTGGCAGGATACGCGCCCACGTGCACGCATGCGCTCACACACACACACACACACACTAAAATTTAAAAAAATTTAAAAAGGGACATATCTCTTTGGCAATTAGAATCCATTAGTGGCTCTGTAGGAGAAAGATGGACAATCTCCTCTCATGCAATATACAACCTCAGAACTCAGTGGAAGGCCAACTATGAGCTGGTTCCAGCTCAATGGTAATGAGTTCCATAGTTCCTTTGGGAGTTCCTGGGTAGTCCAAATTGCTAACGCATTTAGATTGAAAAGGTTGAAGATTGGTGTATACCAGAGGAATCTTAGAAGAAAGGTCTGATGATGTACTTCTGGGGAAAAAAAAATCAGGCAGGGAAAACTCCATGGAACTTAGGCTCTACTCGCAGGAGTTCATCGTAAATCAGGATTGACTTGATAACTGCTATTTTTTGCAATACTTCCATCACCGGAGTTTCTGGTAATGGCTTCTTTTGTATGTTTATAGTATTGTTATTGTGTACCATTGAGGTAGAACCGAACCATAATTGGTTCTCCAGTGGGTTTTCAGAGGCAGTTAATCACACAGGAGGAGATTACTCATCCTTCTTCTGTGGAACAGCTGGTGGATTTGAACTGCATGCCTTTGGGATTTCAATGAAGTTTCTTACCACTAGGCCACAAGAACTCCCTAATTTATATTTATTTTGTATTTATATTATATATTGTTTTTTGTAGTTAGGTGTCATTGACTTGATTACAACTCACAGCAGTTCTATGAATGGCGGATCTGAACCTTGTCCTATTCTGTGCCGTCCTCACAATCTCTGACACTGGAGCCTATAGCTACAGTCACTATGTTAATCCATCTGGATGAGAGTTACTCTCCTTTTCTGTCCCTCCACCTTTCTAAGAATGATGTCCTTTTCCAAGGAATAGCCTCTTCTAGCAACATGCCCAAAGAATATGAGACAAAGCTTTGTCATCTTTGCCTCCAAGGAGCACCCTGGCTGCATCATTTCCAGACTCTACCTGTTCTCGTGATAGTCCATGGGACGTTCTTCAACACCACAGTTTTAAGGCATCAATATACAGTAGTTCATTTTATAGGTTGTTGTTTGTTGTTATGTGCCGCCAAGTCGCTTGCGACTCATAGCAACCCTATGTACAACAGCCCTAAACTCTGCTCTGTCCTGTGCCAATCGCACTGTCTCTGACACTCCCATCCCAATTATCCCAGTCACTGAATCAATCCACCTCATAGAGAGCCTTCCCCTCCTGTGCTGTCCCTCCACCCTCCCAAGCATGATGTCCCTCTCCAAGGACCGGTCTCTCCTCACAACATGTCCAAAGTATGTTAGACGGAGCCTCAGAATCCTTGCCTCCAAGGAGCCACCCGGTTTAACCCTTTCCAGGACAAATCTGTTTAGGTTAGTTTAAAAATATAAAAGTACAGGAGATAATGACATTCAAGGTGTTATGATTGTTTTTCCTGGAGATTTGTCACTAAACGTCTGTTTTAACTAATAGAAGGCATCTTTCAATTTTCTTTAATTTCTAGATGCATTTTGAGAAACATCAAATGTTTGAGGGAACTGTGGGAAGATTTTTAAAGGAGAAGGAAATAAATGAGTAGAATTATTAAAATATGGTAGTCATTTTATAAAGGTGAATTTTCCATCTGCCTTCACCAATTTATTCTCCTCCTTAGAAAAATAATGATTATAACAAATGTTTAAAGCAATCATTAATCTTCATTTGCCTCACCAGTATTTTTCAAGTGCTGTAAAAGTAAAAATAAATTACTAATTCTTGTCCTGCAAAGTAAATAAAGTGTTTTTATATTTGTAAATGAGAAAACAGAGGCTTGTAAAATTCCAGTAACATGCAAAATCATGAATTAGTACATGGTGGAGATAGGCTTTAACCTCAGATTAAACTGATTATAAATATGGGGTTATGATTATCTTGTACTATGTTGTAACTCTGTCATAATTCATCTATTATCCTCTTTGCTTTTTAAAAGAATCACTTGAGAAATAGGCCCCAAATTCCTCTTTTTAAATTTGACACATTTAAAAATGACTATGGAGGCATTAGGAAATAGAACAAGTTTTATTTCCCACCTACACACTAGCTCGTTGTCTCCTTTCTCCAAATACTCTCATGTCTACACTATATGCATCTCCACCGTGCTTCAGTGAACTCTTTACTACTGTGATGTTACTGAGCGATAGTTTAAGATAGTCAATTTCTATTTTCATTTTCGTACAGTCAGTCTTAAAGATTGAAAAAAAAAAATCAAGTGCCCCTTAGTCCTCAATCTAACATCATTGCTCTTCAGTTATCTGGAGAGGTCCCTAACGACAGACTTTCCAAATGCAATATATCTTCTGATATCCTGACTGCTGCTACCAAGTGTGTTGTTTGTGAATCTAAGTAAAATGAAGTTGTTGGCAGTTTAAAACTTTTCTACAACTGTCATGATGTCATCTATCAGTCCACTGGTAAGAATTTTTGGTTTTCTGACACTGAGGTATTGAAAGCTGCAGTGTTTGTTCTTCACAGCAAGTGTTTCAAGTTTGGGGGTTTTTTTTAAATCACTTTCTATGTTGCTAAGAAATGGACAATGAATAAAGATGACAGAAAAAAATTAATGTCTCTGATCTGTGGTATTAGAGAAGAATACTGAATATACCACAGACTGCTAAAAGAACAAATAGATATGTCTTGGAGAAAGTGCACCCAGATTGCTCCTTGGAGGCCAGAACAGCGAAGCTTCATCTCACATACTTTGGACATGTTTATAGAAAAGGCTATTCCTTGGAGAAAGACATTATGCTTGGAAAGTTGGGGCAATGGCAAAGGAGAGGAAAACCATGAACCAACCAGGTGGACTGATGCAGTGACTACAACAGTGGCTTGAGTGTATCAGAGATTATAAGGTTGGCACAGGATAGGACAGGGTTCAGATCTTTTGTTTATAGGGTTGTTATGTGTCATACTTGACTCAATGACACCTAACAACAACGACAACAATTTTAAAGATTAGCTATGAAATACTCAGGCCTGGTTTTAATTGTTTTTGGTCAAATATTCTTCTAGGTCATATAGCCCTCATGGTTGCTGTGATGTTAAACACTGTGACACTGATGTGTCAAATGCGATAATGGTTACCCACGGTGGACAGTGTTTGGTGAAGCTTCCCAATTAAAACAAGCTTGGAAGCAGGAGTGGCACCCACTTCCGAAATAGCTTGTCTCAAGGAACCCTATGAAACTGGAGAAACGATGAAAGTCATACAAGTGTTTGGGTCTTTTGTTCATAGGGTCACTATGAGTCGCCTACGACTCGACAACACTTAACAACAACAAAAACCATGAAACACCAAACAGATTTCAAATTGTAGGATCTCAGATATTTTAAAGGTTAACTGCAGAGATGATTTCAGTAGACGACTTTTGCAATTACTCTTAAATCACATCACCTGTTCAATACATACCCTTGAATACTCGTACAACCCATCGACTCTGGAGTTCTGATGTGGGAATGGTGGCTCCCACGGGCTGGAGGATGCCAATGAAAGCTAGGGTTGGTTTCTCTAGCTGAGGAGGAAAGATAAATTTAAACATGGAATACTGGCTGTCCAGAACTGTTGAGTTGTTTTCCAAAAAAGGGAAAGAAAAAGCATATCCAGTGGCAAAGATGACAACATCAATGTCCTCTTCTGTGCCATCTTCAAAGATGGCTGATGTCTCAGTGAACTCTCTCACATTTGATTTCATCAAAACTCTTCCAGAAATAATATGATTGGGTAGATCATCACTGATGGTAGCTTGATGGCTCAGAAATCTGCAGAATAAGGAATGAAGCCCAGCCACATTAATATATAGCAAACCCTGTGAACACCATTACCTTTGTAAGGCAGAAAACTGACAGAAAAGGAAAACACAAAGACAAGGAAACTTGTGAGAGACAGAAGTCAAAGAGACTGCCTCATTTTTCTGAGTCCTGTAAGTTTTCTGGCTTTGACAGGGTATAGTCACCACTCTTATTTCACTTTCTATCCAATGGAAAATATCTGAATTTTCCTTCTCTGTCAGTTGGTGACTGTCCCCTGTGAAAAGCAGAAAAGTTTCAAAACTCAGAAAAAATAAGGCCAATCTTTTTGGTTCCAGTTCTCCTCATAGTTTTCACAGTTGTCAAAAATTTTCCAAAATGGAAAGGAATAGAACTAATGCTTGATTGAACAATGTTTAATGAAGGAATCTTTTTTCTTACAAATTATTTTTTCACTCAGTATTTTCTTGAATTAATTATTAATTGTTTAGATTTTGTATATATGCATTAACATCAATCAGTCAATAATGTATTTATGGCCTTAATATATGCAAAGTGGAGCCCTTGTGGAGGTGTATGTTACATGTCGGAATGGTAACTGAAAGGTTCATGGTTTGAATCTACTATCTTCTCCAGAGGGGAGCAATGAGCAGTCTCCATCCATAAAAACTTACAGCCTTGAAACCCAAGGAGTCAGAACTGCCTAGACAGCCGTGGGTTGGGATTTTTGGTTAGGTGCAAAGAGAAAATTTTGACATGAGGTCTATAAGCGTACACTGGTGCTACATTGATTCTATACTTGTAAAATTCTTTTATCAAGTTTTGATTTCCATTTTTTTTTAATCTGTGCTTTATTAAAGCAAAAGGACCACATATGGATCGTCTTAATTTGGCTAGCATTTATTGTAGAATTTTAACACAATTGTGTCTCACCTGAATTGTATTAATAGACTCTTAACTAGTCTCCACATTCCTAACTTTGCCTACTGCTGTCAGGTAGATATGACTCACGACAACGCTCCATTTCATTTGTGGAGCTGTTGTGGTGCAGTCAGAATGGCTTTCATAGCCATCAGCTTTGCCTTTGACCAGGCATATGCATATGACTGGGTAGGACTGCGCTAATGATGTATGTGAAAGAGGTAAATACCACGTTTTGGGTGGGAAGTGTATAGGCTACTAATGAGATCATTGGTTACCAGTTGGAAATTCAGGCAGAAGTCAGAAATCTGGAGGAGAGCAGTTGCAGCAGTAGCTAAGAACCAGAGTATGATGTAAGACAGAGCAGAACTGGGACTACCACTACATGAAGTCAGGCCCAGGAGTGGTGGGGTTTTATCCAATCTTATTGGGGGACTGGAGAGAGATGCTATAATTGGCAGCCCTAAGGGAGCTTTTAACAGTGGCCTAGAGCCTTAAGTCATAAGGTGAGAGGACCTGAGAGCACACTGAGAAGCTCTCCTGACTTAAGACTTGTATCTCTTTGTGCCGTCATGCAGCAGACATCCAGTCCACGTTTACTGGTCTGCTGGTCTATCCTCACAAGATCATACTGGCTCTGCTGAATATTGCTTTAAGTTTTGTGTCCAGAATAGGCCACTCTATATTCAGACACAGACAAAGAATGCTTTTGTACAATATTTGAGTCATGTTTTCGGATTGGTTTTTAACAAGTTTCCTGATTAATCTTAGTGTTCTTTCTCTTTTAATTTTGGGGCATGGTAGTTGATGAGACAAATCTTTCAACTCACATATTTGCTATTATATAATAAAATACAGGAGAGGCTCAGATAATTTTTTCATTAACAATTTGTGTTATGCAGATGACAAAAACCTGCTTGCTGAAACTGAGGAGGACCTGAAGCGCTTGCTGCTGAAGGTCAAGGAATACAGCCTTCAATATGGATTGAGGCTCAGTATCAAGAAAACAAAGATTCTGACCACTGGGCCAATTGACAGCATCATGACGGATGATGAAGAGATTGAGATTGTTCACAGCTTTAGTCTGCTTGGCTCCACAATCAACACTCTTGGCACCAGCAGCCAGGAAATTAAAAGATGAATTGCATTGGAAAGTTTGCTGTTAGAGACCTCTCCAAACTACTGAAAAGCAATGATGTCACTCTGGAGACTATGGTGCTCCTGATACAGGCCATGGTCTTTGCAATAACTTGCTATGTGTCAGAGAGCTGGGCCATGACTAGGGATCATAGGAAAACTGATGCTTTTGAGCTGTGGTGTTTGAGAACAGTATTGAATATACCATGGACTGCTAAGAAAACGAACAAGTTTGCCTCAGAGAGGGTTAAACCAGACTGCTCCTTGGAGGCAAGGATTCTGAAGCTTCATCTGACATGCTTTGGCCCATGTTGCAAGGAGGGACCAGTCCTTAGAAAAGGACGTCATGCTTGAGAGGGTGGAGGGCCAGTGCAGGAGAGGAAGACCCTCTATGAGGTGGATTGATTCAGTGACTGGAGTGATGGAGGTAGGTGTATCAGAGACAGAGAGATTGGCACAGGATAAGGCAGGGTTTAGGGCTATTACATATAGGATTGCTATGAGTCACAGGCGACTCAATGGCACTTAAGAACAATAACAACAACAACATACTTGATACTGTAGATTATTCCCATCTTAAAATTTTCTTTCCTTTTGTCCTCTCACTACTAATTCTCCTTTTTCCATCTTCACTATTTTTTAAATTTTATATTGGTTAGCATACAAAAGTTATATACACTCTATTTTGCATTACTCTATTCACATTGTGTTTTTTATACTTTATTCCCATAACTATGGAGGATAGAAGGAGAATTGATGCCTTTGAGCTGTGTGGTGCTGGAGAAGAGTATTGAATATACCATGGACTGCCAAGAAAACAGATTCATCCTAAAGAGGGTTAAACCAGGCTACTCCTTGGAGGCAAGGATTCTGGGGTTTCGTCTGACATACTTTGGACATGTTGTAAGGAGGGACAGGTCCTTGGAGAGGGACGTCATGCTTGGGAGGGTGGAGGGACAGCGCAGGAGAGGAAGGCCCTCTATGAGGTGGATTCATTCAGTGACTGGGGTAATTGGGATGGGTGTGTCAGAGGCAGTGCGATTGGCACAGGATAGAGCAGGGTTTAGGGCTATTGTACATTAGGTCGCTATGAGTCACAAGCGACTCGACGGCACATAACAACAACAACATTGTGTTTTATAAAATTAATCTCCATTGATCCATGCCCACCACTACCTCACCCTTTCTGGTCTCCACTGAATCTTTCCTTCACCCTCTCACTTTGCCCACTAAAATCTGGGCATCTTCAGTATTTTAACAGCTACTCTTCTTCAGGAGTTCTGGTGGCTAAGTGGCAAGATGCTGCACTGCAATCATAAAGGCAATTGGTTTACAGTTTTTTCATTAACATTTGGGGTATCTTGGATTTTTTCCCCTCTTTCTCAATCACTGTTTCTTAAGCTGGAGTGTAGAGATGGAGAAGTGTGTATGTGTGTGTGTAAAGGAGAATATCAGAGGTACTTGTTCGACCTTCACCAGCCTCTCTCCTCCTAGTCTTAAAAATAATATCCTCCACCTTGAAATTCTGATGCGTGCTCCTGGTTGAGATTCTGAAATCACTGTGTCTAAGTTTGATGCCTGCCTGTAGTCATTAAAACAGAACAAGGGGATGTTGCATGCTTTAAAATCAGGAAAGATATTTGGCAGGGATGTTATCTTTTAGCCATATCTATTCAATCTATATACTGAGCAAATAATCTGAGAAGTTGGACTGTAAGAAAAATGAGGCATTAGGCTTGGAGGAAGAATTGCCAACAACCTATGGTATGTAAAAGATACAACCTTGTTTACTGAATGTGAAGAGAACTTGAAGCACTTTCCAAAAAAGGTAAAAGATTCTTGTCTTCAGTATAGATTACAGATCAACATCAAGAAAGCAAAAATACTCACAATTGGAGCAATAAGCAAAATCATGATAAATGGAGAAACAAATTATCAAAGATTTAATTTGATTTGGATCTACATGGTCAACATCCACTGAATCAGCAGTTAAGATATCAAATACTATTTTGCACATGAGCAAATCTACCACCAAGGCCCTCTTTAAAGTGCTTAAGAGTAAGGATGTGATTTTAAAAGAGTGTTCATAGCACAGTTATTTACCATCACAAGAACATGTAAACAGCCCAACTGTCCAACCACAGTCAAATGGATTGAGAAATTGTGGTACATTCACATGATGGAATACTACACAGCATGCAGGAGTAATGATTTCAAAAATTACTACATAACTTGGGTGGGACTGGAGAGCGTCATGCTAAGTGAACTTATTCAGTCCCATAATGACAAAGCTGTATAAAATCATTATTGTAGAAATAGAAAGATAACTAGTAAAACATGTTGAGGATCCAAGATGGGGGGAGCAGAGGGGTGAGAATGGGTTGAGGGGGTAACCATGGGGTTGCATAATTTGATAGGTAGAGGGAGAAGGTGGGTAAAGAAAATGGGAAAGATCCAGTGAAAAACAATGTATATGAACTTTGTAAGCAAACTAGTATAAAATAAAAACTTAATAAAAAGAAGGTGCACCTTATCAAAGCTATGGTATTTTTAACGGTTTAGTATGTATGTAAAAGTTGGACAATGAATAAGGAAGATGGAAGAAGAATTGAGTTTTGATGTTGGCAAAGAATATTGAACATATTATGACTGCCAAAAGAATAGCTAGAAATACAGCTAGAATGTTCTTTAGAAGCAAGGATGAAAAATATATATAAAAAAAAAATAGAAGCAAGGATGGTGGAACTTTGTCTCATATGCTTTGGGAATGTTATCAGGTAAGTCCATTCCTTGGAAAAAGATCAACACTCTTGGTCCCAGCAAGCAGGAAATTAAAAGATGAATTGCACTGGGAAAGTCTGCTGTCAGAGACCATGCCAAAGTACTGAAGAGCAACAATGTCAGTCAGGAGACTAAGTGTGCCTGATCCAGGCCATAGTCTTTGCAAGTACTTGCTATGCATCAGAGAGCTGGACAATGACTAGAGGTGATAGAAGGAGAGTTGATGCCATTTAGCTTTGGTGTTGGAGAAGAGTGTTGAATACACATACCATGGACTGCTAGGAGAACAATATCGTCCTGGAGAGGGTGAAGCCAGGCTGCTCCTTGGAGACAAGGATTCTGAAGCTCCATCTGACATACTTTGGGCACGTTGCAAAGTGGGATCAGTCCTTGGAGAAGGATGTCATGCTTGGGAGGGCGGTGGGACAGCACAGGAGAGGAAGACCCTTGATGAGGTGGATTGATCCAGTCACTGGGGTAGTGGGGATAGGTGTGTTGGAGACAGTAAGATTTGCAAGGGATAGAGTAGGGTTGAGGGCTGTTGTACATAGGGTCACTACGAGTTGTAGACAACTTGGTGACACATTACAACAACAACAACAACCACTTGGAAAGGTGAAGGTTCAGCAAAAGAGAGAAAGATCCTTAAAGGGAAGGTGTATGGTCACTACAACAGTGGATTTCAAGCACAGCAGAGACTGAGCATGGTGCAAACCAGGAAGTGTTTTGTTTATGGTGTATAAATTTGCCATGAGTCAGAGCTGATTCAGTGGCCCTTGACAATAGCAACAGCAACAAACAATGACTGCCGTACATTTCTACTGAGACGTATCGCAAATATCCCAGACACAAATAAAGAACACTTAAATGATCAATCATCTTCCTTTTATCCTCAAAGATGTTTTTTCTTCTGAATTCCTTACTTTTGTAATTTGACACACTAATTATTCAAGTTAGAAACTGGATTTCAATAAATAAAGTAATAAAATGACACAAAATTGTTGGATATGTACTGTGTGTGAAGCACTTATATAGACTATACGTATACTTTTCTATTCTTTGCTAAAAAACCTCTCTGAGTTGGTACTGATGTTATCCCAACCTTATATAGAAAGGAAGTGGGCCATAAATAGTTAAGTAAATTCTACAATTTCCCACAGCTATGCTCTGAACCAGTTTCTCTCAGACTCAATGGCATATTCTGACCCATAATGACGCTATGGGGCAAAGAAGAACTGCCCCTTGGTGTTACCAAACATAAATATTTACATAAGCCAAGTGCCACATCTTTCTCCTGTGGAATGACTAGTGCATTTGAACCCTGGGCTTTTAGATTAATAGCTCAATACTTAATCTACTGTGTCACTAAGTGACAGATTAGGACTTAGATTTCAAACCCCAGCTCTGTAGATAAAAAGCACCTACTCATCTCCTATGCTTTCTCTAGATCAGAAACTACTGGAGGCAAAGAAATCATGCTTTGCATTTTAAAGAGACTTTCCCATCAGTCTCTGTGTTATTACATTACTAAATCCTTGCCTAAGTCTTTCCTTTGGTCTGAAAAAATGAAGTTGAATTTTTTTACATTCATTCAAATAATTTATTATAGTTATCTAGGAATATTTCAAATGTCAAGTACCCACACTCGTCCAATATCTTTGTGTTGGATCGTTGTGAAGACTGTACTAATAATTTCTTTGTCCAACTATCTCTCAGTTCACCTACCACTTCTCCTCTGTGCATAGAGATGATTATTGTGACATAATGTACCATTTGAGAGGGAGCTCTGATGGCCTAGCGATAAGAAGCTGTGCTGTAATCCTAAAGGCAAACAGTTTAAACTCACCAGCTGCTCTGAGGGAGGATGGAAACTCTCCTCTCTTGTGATTTACTGCCTCTGAAACCTGGAGGGTTAACTATGAGTTGGTTCAGATTCAATGGCAAATAACAACAACAACATACCACAAAAAGGGAGTTTTGGTGACCTCCTCCTGGGTAGGGAGTTGCTTTGTTAATAGAAAAGCAGACTGTTCAAATCCATTATCCTTGGTGGAAAGATAGGCAATCAATCCCCTGCCATGTGATTTACAGCCTCTGAAAACCCACTGGAGTGTCAGGTCTGAGTTGGTTCAGTGATGATGGCAATGAGTGATACCATCCAATGATTGTCTACCTTCTGAAAGATTCAGAGTCTAAAGACAGAGTGACTAGTATGAAGAAAATAGATAAAGCTGCCACAATATTCCTGAAACTCAATTTATTTCCTATAAGTGAGGAAAATGGTCCAAAGAAATATGTTGTTGTTGTTATGTGTCATCAAGTTGCCTGCTACTCATAGCGACCCTATCTACAATAGCCCTAAACCTGCTCTATCCTGTGCCAATCTCACTGTCTCTGACACATTTCCCCATTATCTCAGTCATTTAATCAATCCACCTCATAGAGGGTCTTCCTATTCTGGGCTTTCCTTCCACCCTCCCAAGCATGAAGTCCTTCTCCAAGGAGTAGTCCTTCTTTGAAACATGTCCGAAGTATATCAGACAAAACTTCAGAATCCTTGCCTCCAAGGAGAAGGCTGGTTTAACCCTCTCTAAGACAAATCTTTATTTTCTTAGCAGTCCATCCTATATTCAATACTTTTTTCCAACACTATAGCTCAAAATCAGCAATTCTCCTTCTATCCTCCCTAGTCATTGTCTAGCTCTCTGATGCATAACAAGTGATTGCAAAGACCATGGCCTGTATCAGATGCACCTTAGTCTCCAGAGTGACATCATTGCTCTTCAGTACTTTAGAGAGGTCCCTAACAGCAGACTTTCCCATGGCAATATATCTTTTAATTTTCTGGTTGCTGGTACCGGTACCAAAAGTGTTGTCTGTGGAGCCAAGCAAACTAAAGCTGTTAACAATCTCAATATCTTCACTATCCATCCTGATGCTGCCAATTGGTGAGAATCTTTGTCTTCTTGATGTTGAGACTCAATCCATATTGAAGCCTGCATTCCTTTATCTTCGACAGCAAGTGCTTCAGGTCTTGCTCAGTTTCAGCAAGCAGGGTTGTGTCTTCTGCATAACACAGATTGTTGATGAATCTTCCTGAGGCCACACTTCTCCTCATACAACCCAGCCTTCCAGATACCTTGACAAAGTATGGAGATACTACACATCCCTGGCATATATCCTTCCCAATTTTGAACCACAGTGTTTCCTTGCTTTGTTCTGAAGACTACCTCCTGGTCTAAGTGTTCTGGGATTCCCATTCTTCTCAGAACCAGCCACAGTTTGTTGTGATCCACACAGTCAAACACCTTTGCATAGTCAATGAAACAGATAGACATTCCTCTGGTATTGCCTGGTTTCAGCCAAGATCCATCTAACACTAGCTATAATATCCCTAGTGCCATGACCCCTTCTAAACCCAGTCTGAACTTCTGGCAGTTCTCCGTTGATGTGCTTTCCAGTAATTTTTGGATAATCTTCAGCAGAATCTTGATTGCGTGTGGTATTAATGATATTGTTTGATAATTTCTGCACTCTTTTGAATGAGAACAAATATAGATCTCTTCTAGTCAGTTGACAAAGAAATATAAGAATGGAAATAATGGTCAACACAAGAAAGTTGAAGTAAATTTTCTGACCTATTGATTTTAAGAGGTGCAGACACAATTCCTTTTCTTTTTAAATCGAACATACCTGTGTTGAGGTTGCAAACCATACATGTTATGGTTAAATCGTGCATTTAATTTATTTTCTGCCCATCTGTTGATTAAAAATGTCGGGTAGACTTTATTGAGGAAAGAGTTATAACGAGTGAAGAGAATAGTGTCCATGGGCATGCCATGATCCCAGACCCGGTTCCAAATCCATGCACCTCGTCTTGTGCTCAGAAATACCTAGAGAAGTGAATGCAGAGAAGTTTAAAAATAGCTGTAGTGAAATCTATAGTTTATTTCATAATAACTTATTTGACTCACTAGGAGAAATGTTAAGAACATGCTTGCCCAAACCAGTTTTATAATAGCTACAGTCACAAAACAATTATACATTTTCACAAACACAGACATACATCTGACATACTGCTCATGGCTCCAGAGATCAACCCAAGCCTCGCTCTGGACTTCACCCAGTATCCTTCCGAACCTTCTGTTTAGTAGTATTTGAAGTCTGAACTCTCTTAACTTTTAAATTGTGAGAAAATAAAGCAACGAGAGAAGGCTAGGGGAGAAAAATTCACTCATAATATCCCATCCATCTGCTTGTCACAGCATTGTAGCATTTTTTAACATTCAATTAGCTGTATCCCTAGAAATTTGGTTATGGAAGAGATCAGAATTGGGTATTAATTTCAAATGTCCTATCAATGAAAAACAAAATTATTGTAAAAAGGTGTTTTTTTGTCATGTTCATTTAAAAAATTCCTCTCTGAGCTGATACAGATCACTCTTTGGTAAAAATAAACAGTATGTCATTCAATAAAGTTCAAAATGTTTGTTTTCATTCTAGTCTCACTTTTTTGGGGGGGGGGGAATGCATTACCAAAATTCATTGTGTGGTTATTGTTTTTTCCAGAATGGCATCTTTTTTGTACCAAGAAAATATATATGAAGAAATGATTAATCATCAGAGCAAAAGTAATGTGAAAACGTGTGACTATTATTTTTCTTATCCAATACTTTCATCTCAGGGTGTTGGACAGGCTGCACTGTGAAGAACAGAATTTCAGAGGCCAAACCTGTGCAGCTACATGGCTGAGTTCAACTGCCAAATCGGTTCCAGAATTTCCAAGGCCGATCACAAGAATTCTCTTCCCTTCAAACTTCTCTGGCCTTTTGTATTCCCAACTGTGGATATATTGGCCTTTGAATCTCTTGATTCCTGGAGTTAAGAAGAAAATTGCTTAAGACTTGGTCATTACTTTTACCCAAAGAGGTGTTTGGCTTTTGCCCTAAACTCATGGGAGGTGAGCTCTAGGCACCTGGAATTCCTTATAAGATAGAGGAATCTTTATTTGCCTGTGGGCTTTGGCCATCAGATAGTCTAGTCTTACAATGATTTATGATAAAGGAATATGCTGTATAAGCTATAATTGTTGGAGGAGGTAGTGAATAAAAGGGACGTGTGGAAGGGTGCTGAAAACTGAAATTCAATCAGATGGACAGTCTATGACTGAATCCTAATAAGACTGGGCACCAAAATTTCAGGTGAGCATTCCTGGTTGGGGATGCTCTTTGAGCATTGTATCACATCACAGCTAGGAGAAGGTGATATCATCCATAACTCCACAAGGTGAGGGTGACCAAATGCTTTGTATTTGGAGCCTCTCTGGTGTCTACTCTGCAAATGTCTTCCTTTGGCTAATATTTTTTATATGTCTTTCACTTGAGTAAACTATAATTGCTTTTACAAAATTTTGTTCTTCTGGAAAAGTAGCAAACTTTGGGGAGGTTATGGAGGTTTTCAGTTTTGTAGCCCATTGGTCTTTCACTAAAGCAAAAGTAGTTTTGGGATGCTCTTGAACTTCCCAGGGAGCTGGTGGCAGGGTCTGTAGGGAGTTGAGCTTCTAACTCAAGGCTAAGCCTTTCTCTCTGTGGTGATTTGGATTCACCAGCAGCTCTATGGGGAAAAGATGAGACCTGCGATTTACGGCCTCAGCGATCCAATGGAGGAGTGGCTATGAATCAGTTCTGCCCTGACAGCAGTAACATGATGGTAAGACTTGAACTTCCAGTTATTATCAGACATATTGGGTAGACATGGCAATCTGGGGACTGTGTCTTCAATTGTGCAGTTAGACTAACTCCAAGTAATCCTAACAAAACTCCTCTTTTTGTAGATGACATAAATCATTACACATTGCATCTTGTTCCTGTTTTGTTCTAGATGGTAAACTCCATGGTTAAACAAAGCCCAGGCTTCTAAGAAATTCAGATACCTACTTGCCTCTTCTTCACTTAACCTGTTTACAAACAGTAACTTTCTCTTATTAAGCAATACATCTTATTAACCTGTCATCCTTGCTATTTACAACTGCTACACCGGACAGCTTCCCTCTGTTTTGGTTTTGAGCCCTAGCTTAATTTTTGTCTACCTTGTTTCCTCCTCCTCCTGGGAATGGTATACCCTTCCTCCAGCACTATCCATTCTGCTCTCATCCTGGGGCACAGGCTTCAACAGGACACACGGAGCCTGAAGCTAAGAGGATGCTCTTGTTGTATGCTGTTGAGTCAGAACAAACTGACAGCTGACCCTCCAGCAGGTTTTCAGAGGCAGTAAATCATGTGGGAAGGAACTGCTCATCCTCCTTCTGCAAGGGCTTCCCGTTTTTAACCAAAACATATTTTCTCTGACTTAAAGAGAAGCCTTACTTGAAAAAAACCACAAAGTTGATTGATTCTGTAGCATTTCATATTTTAAATAATCTAGAATATGCACATAGGGACATTCTTGTGACACATAATCAGGGACTACACGATTTAGCCCTGGTGATGGTTTTTTCCTTCCCATATTCTATCCCTACATGAATATTCAACTTCCCTTTTTCATTGAAGCCTTACTTGTCCACCTGATCTGATAATGCAACATAATCCCCTACTCCTAAAGTCTCATCCCATTTCTTGGCTTAATTTTTTTTCTCTTCAATAGTTGTGATCTACAATATACTTATCCTATTTGTATCTGTCTCCATTTACAACCAAGAACATTACTGAAATGTACAGGTTTTATTTGTTTTGTTCTCTGTTAAATCACTGATACCCATTCAGTGCTCAATAAGCATTTTTTGAATGATTGTCAAATGAATATATACATAAATGTCTGAATCTATAGAAAAGCAAATACAAGTTTTATTTTTCATGACCAATTATTATATTCTCAATCTTCTCTAAGAGTTAGAAATAAAGACACACTCATAGCAAGGGGATGAGGGACTCATATCTCCTATGAATTTAGAAGAGTACAATGAAGTCTAAGCTTCAGCCTTTTCCAGGAAGACTGACTACATCTGCTTTTCGAAATCAACAGGGAGACCTCATGCATGCAGGATATCTAAGGTTTCAAATGGTAAATATAGTAAAATGGGTGGATACACAGGGTGCCACAGACACATCTGTATTCATAATGTATATACATACACACATTTGTAAATAAAGCTAAATGTTAAAACACCTTTGAAAAAATCTTTGGTAGCTATGATCTTACAATTTACTCTACATTATTATCGACACAAAAAATGTTTCTGATTTGGCAGCTAATTGTGGTATGTTGTAGAACTTTTTTGTCAAAACAACCTAGAAGTAGTGATAGACAAGGTATTAATAACTTTTTCTTTTCAATCTGCAAAATTTTATAATGTTTGAATATCCTTTCAAAGAGCATACTTGGCCAAAGAATCATAAAAGGGTTTATTTATTTTGAAAATGCACTGACTTTCAGGGTTTCAAACTTCAAAAACAACAATAGTAACAAGGACAAAATTCTCTAAAAATCATTGACTTGGAGATCAGTATGACATACCTGGAAAGTTCTGGAGTGGTAAAATGGGATTCGTATAGAGCCCAGTGCACACCATGATTCCATCAAAGATGTAGGATTTTTGCTTCCCTTCTGCTTCTACCACAACATCCCACTGTCCCGTGGAGGGGAAGTCAGAACGCTTCTTCACACTGCACACTTTTGACTGTGGAATGAGACAAGCATAGAATCATGAGCACTGCTTCCAATTTCCCTCGTTTCCAGCATTCTTGGCTGGAATAATGAATAAAGTCAATAGCGAGGAGTTGGAAACAACCTAAATGCCCATCAACAAATGAATGGATAGAGAAGCTGTGGTGTATTCACACATTGGAATACTATGCTGCATTGAAAAACAAAGAACTCATGTAATATTATTCAAAATGGGTGAGCCTGGAGGACATTATGCTGAGTGAAGTCTCTCAGTCACAAAAGGACAAATACTACATGGTGCCACTGTTGTAAAACAGGACTGACCTTGGAGTTGGGGAGAGACTGAGAAATATGGGTTCAATAATGTATACTGCATTGAAACAGATGAGGGAGAAAACTGTTTAAAAGAGACATGTGATTACATATTTTTGTCATGACAGGAGTCTAAAGCAAAGGCTACATGGTGGAGTGGACCTGGGGAAGTGTTTGTAAAATAATGAAAGAATTTTTCTTTTACTTTTCCAAGAGAGTAGTGTACTAGGGAGGAGGGTTGAGAGGGAGGAAAAGTGCAACAGTGAATGAATGGAAATCCAAAGTCTCTGTAAATTTTTACTGAAATGAATAATAAATTTAAATTAAAAAAGAAAAAAATTAATGAATAATGTCAACTGCAATGACTCTTTCTTAGTAGGTTTCCAGAAACTAGAATTTTACACAAAAATTTTTTATGATTACTTTTCCCTATCAAGATCTTTAAAGCAGAGATTTAGCCTGGTTTGATTTAACTGTGGTTCAGAATTTAGTTGGTGGTGATCTAGTCTGATTTGATGTCTAGTGTGATGTTTTAGCCAATTCGCCATAGTTTTTTTCATGGAGGAAGAGATAAGAGGAGCTCCCTTCCCTGGAGATGTACTAAAGCTAATACTGTGGTGATGTGTTCATCTTCAAGACTAAGGAGGCAGCTTACCATGCTTTGCTCTGGCTTGGCTCTCCACCCTATCAAAGGAGCTCCAGATATGCTGAGCATGCTCTGTCTCACTTACCTGAAACTGGATGTATTTCATAAGGTGAAAATGTTTGCTATACATCCTGAGATACTCCATGATTTTGGAATTGTGCATGTAGTTGGGATGATTGTCAGGGAAGGGAAAATCACTGTAGGCAGTCATTTCCTTAGAAGTGTTGCTGCTGGCAGATTTATAGATACTTGGCCTGCCTTCTTCAATTTTCTCCTACCAAGAAAGAAAAAAAAAGGCATCCACTGTCTTTTACTACAAAAGAGTAGCAGTTTAAAAAAAATTTATCTCTGTCGACTGGTGAGATACTTAAGGGAGTTCTTTTTAAAAACTCAAGGTTTCATCGTTTTTACTATGAAATATGTTAACTTAGTGTTACATAGTCAAACAGAGCAAATAATGTTGGAGAACAAACAGACAGACATAAGGAGAAAACATGTCTATAGAACATCAACACAGTTAAGCCAGCTGCCTTAGAGTTGATTCTAATTCACAATGACACCATGTGTGTCAGAGCAAAACTGTGCTTCACAGGGTTTCCAATGGCTGGTTTTCTAGAGCTAGATGCCCATTTCTTCTGAACGATCTGTGGGTGTACTCAAATCTCCTGCCCTTTGGTTAGCACAGGAGTATGCTAATCATTTTTACTGGCCAGGAACACCCACCAGAGTGATAATAATAGAACACCAGAGATGATAATAAACAGGAAGATGAGGACTGCCTCTGCTCACAGAGATGAATGAGAGTCAGAGTCTCAGACTGAGGGGTTACTAGGGACTCCTGGTCAAAAGTCTTGCTTGTAGTGATTGATGGGAAGGGATGAAAATATAATACAAGGAATTTTCTCTTTTAATTTTTTTTCTTATTACAAAAGTACTACATCTCATCCAAGTAGCAGTGGCAAAGTCTAACAGGACAACAAGCAATAAATGTTGGAAAGAATGTGGAGAAACTGGAATTTTCATACATGTTGGTAAGATTATAAAATAGTACAATCACTCTGGAAGGCATTTTGGCATTTCCCCAAAAAAATGAACATAAAAATTTCTTATAACCAAGCTATTGCATTGCTAGAAATATACCCTGAGGGGAAAAAAAATAAACCTGAGACACAAATGGAGATTTGTACACCAATGTTTATAGCATCTTTTTCTTGTTTACAGCGGGAAAATGGGAACAGCCCAAATTTCCATCAACAGATGAATGGATTGAGGAGTTGTGGTACAGTCACACTGTACTCAGAAGTAACAATTTCAAAATTACTATATAACATGGAAGAGGCTAGAGAGCATTCTACTGCGTGAACTAACTCAGTCTCATAAGGACAAGTACTGCATAAGACCACTATTGTAAAAAATAAGTCTGACTAGCAGGATGTGTATAAGAGTCCAAAGGGGAATAAAAAGGAAGGGGGGAGGATCACAGGGTTACAGAGTTTAGTGGGTAGAAGAAGGGGGTGACAGAATTAGGAAAGATCCAGTGGTGACCACAAAGATGGGGTAATAGTAGGCATAGGTAAAAGGTGATTAAGTTTATAAAACACACATTGTATGGGAATGAGCATATAAAAAACAATGTGAATGAAAGAATGTGTGAAAAAATATGAATGAAATGTAATGCATACATATTTTATATGCAAAACAATATAAAATAAAAATACATTTTTAAA